CTTGATTGCCCCCAAGCCCTGAGAGAGGGAGGGAGAGAGTTGGGAAAGGGGAGATAGAGAGGGAGTGGATTATCGCGAGGTTACGCCCCAATTCCCGTTTGTCTCGCTCTCTGGTGGCCGAGGGCACGCGCACTTTTGTAAGCAGAGACACGCAGAAAGTCCACGCATGAGAGTAACGGCTAAGATGTAATAATGCAGTTTAGCAGACATACCTCTGGACACCTGACAGTTCAACACGGATGGTGCTGAAGTCATGATGTGCAGCAGTAGAAGTGTGTTGTGTAACTCTAACTTAAACATACTTTATTCTAAAAAATGAACTAAAAAATATTACGATAAAGACTTTTTTACATACATGTGCCCCAAACACCGCACACTCTACAGAAATATACTTTATATTAATCATTCACAACATGAAGTCAGAGTCCATGAGTTTTATTGTCTTATGCACAGTAAAAAAAAAACATGTTTCCTTATAAATAGAATTCTGCCCAAATAAAAAAGCCAAACATAGTTTCAGTCCTACACACTTTATGTTTCCTTTCTTGTGACCCATAGACCAACTTTATCAACATTTATCAACAATGACTACCTTGAACATCAACACTTCCCAGGAGTCTCAGTCGTGGTGATCTGTTAAACCTGCAAGTATAGAGTTTACATTTTGTGTTAGGAGAGAGAGCCTGCTCTGTGCTCATACACCGGATCATTTACAGGAACTCTGGTTTTAGCTCATTTATTTAGTAAATCCTGGCATTATGATCACAGCTTGTCAGTCACTGCAGTGTACTGACATCGATTGATCCATTCCTGCAGTTCTGGGTCACGGAGGGTTGGGCCTAGGCAGAGATGCCCAGCTCTCCTCCTCCCCTGCCATCTCCACGTTGGGAAGGTGAGGATAGGAACATCGATCGATCCATAATTCCACAGTTTCACTGTCACACAGCTCTCTCATCACCACAGCACCTCATTATTGCCTATGTCACACCAGTCCACCTGAAAAT